AAATCTCACAGAAAATTGCATGTTGAATAAATATAAATTATCATAAATATGTTTCTGGTTCTTTTTGTCAAGCACATACCAAATTGTACACTTTACATGCACGACACATTTAAATCGCTTCAACATAACAAATTGTTTCAAGATTTTTCTAGACCATACATCACTTTTGCTCAATACTGTATAGCATTAGTAGTAGTAGTAGTAGTAGTAGTAGTAGTAGTAGTAGTAGGAATTTTATATTTATGACATTTACTGTAAAGTGTAAATTACAAGATCTTCTAATATGAGTCAGATGGCGATCATCATAACCTCAAAAATCAGAAAATCATAATTGGGTTTTTCTTTTCTTGCTTTTCCTCTCTTTTTGTTTCTCTGCTTTAGTGTGCTTTAACTGAGGACGTATGGTTTGCTTGAATCTACACTGCAGTAGTTTGTGAGAAATGCACATTCAGATGTGATTTACAGCCATCATAAGCATGTTGGAACATGCGGTCTTGATATTCTTTAAGTGCCTTGCTTACATTTCTGTACTTATAACAACACACCCTAAACAAAGACTGCATGTATCTGTGGCCGTCAAAGAGTTTGGGACGCGTGCCAGTGATTGTTGTGGGATTGGTCTGATCCAGCTATTCATTTCTAACGCCAACACATTCTTATTTCTCATAATTCTTTAGTGCAAAACAGAAATGGAAAAAGGGATTGTAATAGCATTTGTGTTGCTTTAAAGGGGACCTATCATGTCCCTTTTTATTTTACAGTAAAATAAGTTTCTTGTGTCCCTAGAGTGTGAAGTTTGAGCTCAAAATAACCCACAAATAATGTTTTGTAACTCTTTTAAACTGCTCCTTGTAGCCTTTGATCCAAATTGTGCCATTTTGATGACTGTCGCTTTAAATTCAAATGAGATTGTGCTCCCAACCCTCTTTTCAAAAGGGGTGGAGCTAAAATTGCGTACGTGTCAGAATAGTGGCAGATTCAAAACTGATGGCGGACAGCTGCTTCTCACTCAGGGCTGTTTATGCTGAGGAGGGATAGATCATCACTAATGTGCAGGGCTTTTCCCTTCTGATAACATGTACAAAGCGAGAATGTCAATTAAAGTGTTTCTACAGACAAAGTGTGATTATAAAATATGAAATTAATCATTAGAAGCTGGTTATATTCACAGACTGTTACCAAACAACTGTGTTTAAACGCTTTTATAAAAGTGATTTTTGCATAATAAGTCCTTTTTAAATAGCCTCTTTCTCTTTGAAGGGTTTAGTAATGGTGTGTTTTTCTGCTAGGTGAGGATGCGATGACCGGAGACACAGACAAATATCTGGGGCCGCAGGATCTGCGTGAGCTCGGAGACGACTCTCTGCCTCAGGAAGGATATGTTGGATTTAGTGTTGGAGCCCGAACGGCCAGGTAACATCAACTTAGCATATAGAGAAAGTGTTGCCTTCATATAAACTGTTTATTTTCATGTAGAATCTATAGCAGTTCACCAGGAGCTTACTGTAAATCAGTTACATCAAAAATACTATATTTACATTTACAGCACCATTTAACTTACTAAACTTAAAAGTCGTAACATTTAAATGGGGGCTCGTCCGGGATTTGAACCCAGGACCTCTTGTACCTAATACCTTCTTTTTACGGCGTTTCAAAGATAGTCGCCGAGTGAATTGACTTGCCATAAAGGGACTTTGGTATTACTCCATAAAATACCCATCGAATCAGAATGTCCATGATTGACCATATAGGGTTCGTGTCATGAATATTAATGAGCTCTGGCTCTTACAAACACACATATACACACAAAGCAAGATGCACGAATGCTAAACACGGACAAATTTAAACCCATCAGAGTAACGTTATTCAGTTTTGCTCATCAGATCTGTTGTGAATAAAGGTTAAATTACAGTTAAACTTGACAAAGGGGAGGGATAGATATTTTGAAGCTATAGTCGAAGAAAACACAGTCAGGACTTAATATCATCTGCAGATGACAGTTGAGCTAAGTGATTTGACACGATTCAGACACATCAAATTTCACAATAAACACGATAAATTAACAAAAGATGCAATTAAACCAGCCTGATCTCATGAGAAAATGTACGTATTTTACGTTTTGCCAGTTTAGTGGCAAAATCGTACAAATTCGTACGAGTTCAGTCGTACGAAATTGTACGATTTTAAAAAGGATGCGTGGCACCTAACCCCACTCCTAAACGCAACCGTCATTGGGGGATGAGCAAATCATACTAAATTGTACGAATTAGATTGTGCGAATTCATATGAATTAGCCACTAAATCAAAAGGTTAAGAATTGTTGTGAGATTTTGTTGAATTAAACATACCTTATGTCTCTTCGGAATGGAGATGAATTATTGTATAATTTGTAAATCTTGCATTTTGCATCCTGAGGCGAGTTTGAAGCATGTATTGTGCTTTTGTTGCACAGTAAACAATTTGGGGCTCGCATTTTCGAAATAAAAGTCCCTCATGCATAGTAAGTGAAATATACGTTTTCAATAACTAAGGGAGGAAAATTGTCATTGTTGTCTCACTAGAAATTGTTTAGCTTATCAAACGCATAAGTTTTCTCTTGATGACGTCAGCTGCTCGTCAGCTACGGTGTCGTGAAAAATCGAGTCCCCTCATCAGAATTGGGTCCGCCTATTGGACCCTGATTGATCCTATTGTTTCACTGGAGTTGTAATAGGTATAGTCTGTAGCATCTGTTTATTAACTCCAGTATTACAACTATTAATTCTGTAAAATCACGATATAATTTATATCATGTAACAAGCTTAATAATGACCATTTCATTTCACAATTATAAAGACATTTCTAAGCGTTATATAGACCCTTTCATATACTAATATATAATTAAAGGCATGGGTTAGGAAATTGAGCGCTTATATTTCATATTGTTCAGTTAGCCCAGTTAGCCTATGTGCTAGCATATTCATATATCTACCCTTAGCCTCCTAGCTACAACAAGCTAACGCTGCTCAGATCAGCCACACAACAAGGTATCACAATAATAGCTTTTGATCAGGTATTCACCTTAGATGACCCCTTGGTGTCCTAAGCGGACTCGTTTCCAGGAGAGACTCGATTATTAACCACACCGGATGAAAGACCTAAAGTAGGAGTACATGCAAATGATGAGGGCGTGGCCCGTTAGTCTCATCACAGTTTGTTTTGTCTTCTGACTGGCCTGTTGGGGTTTTACACATGTGGAAACAGTGGTGTCTGAGGCTAACGTTATGCCCATTTCCATTTACTTATATATAATTACTCTGCTATGCCTTGCTATACCCAGATTTTCATTTTAGGGCACCTTTAATATGTCTCATCTAAATAAACTGGTGTGATGGTGAATCCAGATCATTCATGGCTCCAGCACGCAACTGTCTTATCTAAAGGCTGTAGATTGTGTGTTTTGTCCGCCTGCTGTCATCTTTTGATTCAATAGCATGCGCTGTTGAGTGAGGAGCGCGAAGCTAATGTTTAACCTACATCTAAGTCGCTTCAGGGGATTTTCCCACCAACAAACAAGTTTGACAGCGCTCAATGATTGAAAAGACTCAGACTACACGCTAGCCTCATAACAGGAAATTAAACTCAGGTTCAATAACAGCCCTGAGCATTTGACACGTTTTAGTGAACGACTCGAGGTTGTGAAAGTAAGTTTTTATGTTATTAATTTTTAAAGTGTTCATGTGTTTTGGTTAATAACACATATAGTATAATCATAACATATATATATATATATATATATATATATATATATATATATATATATATATATATATTATTATTATTTTTTTATTTAATTTTATTTAATTTTATTTTTTAAAGCTAAGTATCACCCATTTATTCATCATTCATTATTGTGTTTTATTATTTAAGTTTTTATTACTATAATTGTTTTGATCACTCTTTTTTTTTGATGGTCCGTTTGTTGAATTTAAGTTACATATAAATAATTCTCATATAAGAATTTATTTTATTTATATTTATATTTATTTATTTCATATAAACAAATAAAGCCAAATAATTCTCCTTAGAATATAAGTAGACTGTTAGGTTGGGGTTAGGGTTAGAGTTTGACATGTACAACATATTAAGTACAACAATATGTAACACATATTAAGCAGACAGTCTACTAATACTCAAATGGATCATCAAAATAACGTGTTACCATTGTTTTTATTAGTATAAGTTGCCATAAGTGCTTTTTTAGTACCATTAAGTAACTATTTTAGTTTTTAATACCCTGATCTTTTTTGGTTTTATGTTTAAAAATAAAGTTAATTAATATATTTACTAGCATAAATTTATTTATTGTAGATTTTAGTGTCTTATTTTTTTTCAAATAATTGAATATTATTTTATGCATCATATAATTGGCTATTTTGGCTAAGTTGTTATTGTTATTCATAATAAGAAAGTTTGCCTAAATAATATTTATTAATACATTTTTGGGTAGTTTGTTTTTGCTTTATCATTATTATTATTGCTATTAGTGCTATTTTTGAATCATTAAATAGCTGTTTTCATTTTAATAGCTTGCTTTATCTTAGTTTTTTATTTAAAAACAAAGTGAATTCATATATTTACAGCACTACCATTAAAACAATTTATTGTAGATTTTATTTTATTTTAAAACTATCAGCCTTAATGCCACTCATTTATTTATTGTTGTATTGCATTTTTATTTTAAAGAGTCGTCATTTTATTATTATAATTGTGTTTATTAGTATTAGTTACCATAAGTACTATTTTAGTATCAATAACTGTTTTAGTTTGAAGCTTGATCTGTTTTCATTTTTAAAAACAAGGTGAATGAATATTTTTACTAGCATAAAACTATTTTTTGTAGATTTATTATTTTAATTTTAAAGCGATAAGCCTAAATATCACCTATTTATTCATTCGTTTAGTAGTTTATTCATATATTTTTGATATTATTATCTGTGTTATTTTAGTAATCAAGTAACTATTTATTTACTATACTAATAATATTAATAATAATATTATTAAAACAAACTACCCACACATGTATTATTTAAGCAAATAGTTTTCTTTTTATGGATAATAAACTGTAAATAGTCAACTATATGATGCATAAAATAATACTCAATTATTAAAAACAAATTAAAAGACTAAAATCTACAAAAAACAGTTTTATTGCTAGTAAATATATTAACGTTTACTAGCTTAAATGTGTTACTATTTTTAAATTAAAAACCGAAATAAAGAAAGCTATTAAAATGAAAATAATTACTTAATGATTATACATAGCACTTATAGTAATAATAATAATAATAATAATAAAAAGTATATTTATTTACTATATCAAGTAACTATTTACTTGAGAAATAGTACTTTGCAATTACAAATGAATTATTGAGTTTATGGTACAGAAGCTGTATTTTGGCCAAAGTGTACAAAAATATACCAAGACTATCGGCATGAATAAACTTTAGAATAATTAAAGTTCTTCAGAATATTCTGATGGAAAGGTTTAGAAAGTGCTGCTCTGAAATAAAGCAGCATCTCCTTGATCATTTTAGGGATGTTTCCATATTTGCTTGGTGCATATGTATACCTAATAACTTCTTCAGTGTTTGTTTAGGATATTGAAATACTTTATATTTTAGGGAAAAGTTTTAGATAGTACAGTACAGCCGAAGACAGGAAACATGCTTCATTCAGCCTCTGCATTTCTGATTTGTTGCCTTTCAATTTCCTCTGTTCTTCTTCCATTATAAACCCTCACCATAGTCCTAAAATCAGGTAAGAGGGCATGATGTTTCCACCTTCCCTCCCTCATCCCGAATCATTCAGAGACCATGAAGCGTTGTTGTGTTACCGTGCTTTGTGCGTTGTTTTTTATTTGATGAGGAAAAACACATTCTTGCTGTGTGTAGACTATGGTTTCATTTCAGTTTGAGATTTGTGTTGACAGTTTGGTGTATTGTGCGCAATTTTTTTTTTTTTTTCAGGTTGTTGTTAAACATTTCTGTCTTAAGTCCAATTCTGAATAATTTCTCAATGTAGCTTCCAGGGATGCTTGAAAAGCCTTGTCGGCGAAATTTCAGCCATTTAAATCAGCAAACAGAACCACAAACAAACAAATAAACTGATTCTGGCAGTGAGACGGTAAAGCGAGAAGTCTGAGAACTGCTGTAGGCATCATATTGATTTCTGATGTACCAACAATCTGTGTAAGCTCAGTCTGCGATAATGCGAACAGAAATTAATTCTAAAGTTAAGAAAGATCTAGATCTTTAGCACAGTTTTAAATAAATCTGTATAATTGTTGATTGGCTAGTTATGCACCATTGATTTCCATTTAAGGGTTTTTGCTAGGCCTACTTGGAATCTGTGTTTAAATCTATACAGGCTTGTTAGGAAAAAGTGCCCAGGGTGTGTGCACTGAAAAAAAGTGTTGCATGCAGAACTGTTGCAAACAATTTATTTGTGTTAAATTTAAACAAACAAATTCAATTTAATAATGTTCAACTTAATTTGTTTGTTTAAATTCAACACAAATAAATTGTTTACAACCACTTAACGTAAAAAAAAAGAGTAAATCCAAAGAATCATCTTTAAATAATTTTTTTCAGTGTGGGCCAGTCGATATCAAGCTGATATATTGTGCACAGCGACAAGCAAGCAGCCTTCTCTCAAAGACACATGCAAAAAGGACATTAAGATACGCAGTAATCTTATGTATTAGTTATGTATTTGAGATTGTCAATAATGTAAATATCACCCTCTAGTAGATTTTTGAAATCAAAAACTGCAAAAAGACAGTCCCTGATGCATACAGCGGGTAAAGTAAGTATTGAATACCACCATTTTTCTCAGAAAACATATTTCTAAAGGTGCTAGTTACTTGAAATTTTCACCGGATGCTTGTAACAACCAGCAAATCCATATAAGATTTGCAAAGAAAACAAATCTGGTTAGTTTACAAATTATGCATAACAAATTAAATAACACAGGGAAAAAGTATTGAACACATGAAGAGAGCTGTAAAAAGTCAGTGAAAGCCCAGACAGCAGCTGAAATGTCTTAGTAGTTTTTTAGCAACCCACTGCCCTTCGTCATTGTAAATAAATATCAGCTGCTTCAGTCCAACATCTACATTACCAGGATGATAAAGATGAATCCAAGGTGGACATTTCAGCAAGACAATGATCCAAAACACAGACAAGGAAACTCTCAAATGCTTTCAGAGAAGGAAAATCAAGCTGTAGAATGGCCCAGTCAATCACCTGACTTGAATCCAATTGAAAATACGAAATAAAGATCAGATTTAATAGACGAGACCCACAGAACCATCAAGATGTTTACACCCTATTAAAAAAACTCACACCTGAGCAATTCATATGACTTCATTCTCCATATGAGGCGTCTTTAGGTTGACACCACTGAAACAGCCTTTTATATAAGGTATTAAATGTGTCTGTAGTTTAGTACTTTCTCCTTGTGTCATTCCATTGTTATTACACAGAAGAAATTTTTGTCTTGTTTATTTTTATGTTTTGTTTGGGTTTTTGCCAAAATCTGGTTCAATTCCATGTCAACAGCTCCTTTAGAAATATTATTTCGAGGAAAAACATGACGTCATCAATACTTATTTTCCCCGCTGGATTTCTTGGTTCTCAAAAATATATCCCTGGGTACATAAATCCAGTGAGTTTGGGTTGTTTTAAATGCATCAAAAATTTGAATTATTTAAAACTTAAAATAAAGAAAGCATCATGATTATTGTCACCTATTATAATATATTATCTACTATTACTATCATAATAACTATCAACTATCATTCTATTCAACTATACGCAACTATCAAGTCTTCTGGCCTCGATTTTGCGTTCATTTATTCGATTTTACATTAGGCAAGTCTTGCTTTAATAATGCATTATTATGTAGCTACATTAGGACTGTTCAATAAACATTTTAAAATGTCCTCATTGCGTAGCTTTTAAAAATTGTACATAGTTTGTGTCTTATTGATTCAGTTAATACAAATATTCATTCTGAATTGATCCATATTCTCAAGTTTTTCGCTCGACGTCTAAACCATCACACGGCTACAGATGTCTCTCATCATCCATGTTTATTGGCTATTGTGCATCAAGTTCCCTGGAAGTTGCATGCAATAATGAGTGTTTTTGTTTTGTGTGTTTGTGTGTGTGTGTGTGTTTTGTGTGTACTTCACTGTCACTCCCCCGCCCTCCTGCACTGTATGGTATTAATGTAAATGCCAACAGCCTGCGCTCCTTCAGTTCGGATAGGTCCAACACTCTCAACCGGAGCTCCTTCGCCCGCGACAGCATGATGATCGAAGAGATCCTGGCGCCCACCAAGGACACGGTATGCCATTATATCATGTCGAGCATTTAAAAGCTTTAATGTGCTTCAATTTAGTTCAGCAGATTTGAAAATACAAATACACTTCATTGAACATGGACACATAGACATCACTTATATACACTACATAACTGCAAGTTAACTGCTTATATATATATATATTAACTGTAACTGTTAAAAGCTATTAGTTACTAGTTAATTAGTTCAAGTTATTAAAGTTATGGTAAATAATAATCTTTTTTTTTTGTAAATATGGTAATTGTTTAGTGGTGTTATTTGTATGCAAAGCATTGTGGTATTACTTTATGATATCACTGTTGTATTAAAATCATTAAAGCAAATTTTGACTTAAAAAAATGGACTTTCGTTCCAATTATTAGTCTATATTATTAGTATGATAATATTATGTTTTTCAAAAAAGTGTCTTGATGTAGGCTCTTGGTAGACTTTTATTTAAGTAACATCATCTGCTTTTCAATGTACTTTGGGGTGTTGAATAATGCAAATAGTGCACGTTCAGTACAATTAAGCACTTTTACTTTTCATACAGGTTAACTTAGGTGTTTGATGAAAGGGAATCACAGTTCGGTATGCAAATAATGAGTTGTTTATGAACTTATTATACTTAAAGAACCCCCCAATATACAGTGGGTAAGGAAAGTTTTCAGACCCCCTTCAATTTTTCACTCTTTATTATATTGCAGCCATTTGCTAAAATCATTTAACCCAGTGGTTCTCAAACTTTTTTCATCAAGTACCACCCCAGAAAAAAATTGTCTCTCCAAGTACCACCTTAATGAGCAGCATTGAAATACAGTAGCGTAGTAAGCCCAGCAAAGCAGCTACAGCTCTGCACAGTTCTAAAACATGGCAGATTAATTTCTATTATTAAGAATATTTATTGCTGTCAGCCATTTAAAACATTATGAATAGTCTGAACGTTAACACTGTACTGTGCTTATATGTAAAAAAACAAACAAACAAAAAACTAAAAATGTCAACATTTAAATAAAATATATATATTATATTTCATATTCATATATAAATCATTTTTAATAAATTTAGAAATTTATATAGCATGTACATATGACACATTTGATATCTCCGCGTGCCACTAGTGGTACACATACCATAGTTTAAGAACCACTGATTTAACCAGTTAAACTCTCCATGACATCATCGAATTTCGCTTTAAGATTTAAAGGACTAGCATTGCACCAGACCCCCGTAAGTGGTTTTGTTTGAAAGTGTAGAATCTATATTTTATGCACATATGCATCACATTGTACATCCTACTGTACAAAAGTTATTTACACTTAAATACACAGTATTTTGGATACCCGAGCTGGGTATTGAACATTGGTTTATTTTCATATTTTTCATATGGTTCATATATGACACCTGTACAAGTTGAAATGAAAGCTCTTGCCTGTGCTCATACAGTTCTAGCATTCTTTTTACTGAATTATATTCACATATCAAACAGTTGCCGAATGAATTGCGGTGTTTCCATGGCGCAGAAGTGAAAACAATATATTTATGATCAATGAGCAGCCCCAGATAGCACAGACAGCTGTCATCTCTTATCTTATGCTGTGCGCTTCAGGGCCATTCTCCTCTGTTTTTGAGGTGATGTGCATAATTAATCCTTTTATATGTCTGATGTGGTCCAAACACAGTGAATTAAATTTGATCAAACAAAAGAATAGTGAAATATGAAAACAGTGATCAATCCCTGCGGCTTGTATAGCACCTCTCATCAGTTGGAATACAATAACACTTGCATAGATTATGGTAGAGACGTTTTTCTTTTTTGCTATGATTACAGACATGTGCAGGAACCACTAAAATTAATTACAGCACCCTAGACCACACAGAACCTAAAAGGTACAAATTTGAGTTTATAAAAAAGAAAAATACCAGAAGCGCCTCTTTTTTCAGGTGTTTATTATGACACAGTCAACATATACAGACATTTTAAACACTTTCAATAGTGTTTTATAAAAATTTTAAAGGTGTTTCTTTAAAATTATACCAAATTTTTGCATTTACACCTCTGCATGTGGATTTGGGAAGCTTTTAAATTTGGGTAGGCAAAATCCAGGTGGAAATCCCAAAATAGCAGAAGAGTTTAAAGAATTGTTTGTCTCAATAATGTACACGCAGCACCACATATTGACCGAAAAACACAGAATTGTTGGCATTTCTATGGATTTATTAATAAAGAAAAACTGAAATATCACATGGTCCTAAGTATTCAGACCCTTTGCTGTGACACTGATCTATTTCACTCATGTGCTGACCATTTCTTCTGATCATCCTTAAGATGGTTCTGCATCTTTATTTGAGTCTGGCTGTGTTTTATTATAATGATTGGACTTGATTAGGAAAGCCACACACCTGTCTATACAAGACCTTACAGCTCACAATGCATGTCAGAGCAAATGAGAATCAAAAGGTCAAAGGAACTGCCTGAAGAGCTCAGAGACAGAATTTTGGCAAGGTGCAGATACATTTCCGTACCCACTGTATATATAATCTACTGTTAGTCACCCTTAGGCCATCCAAATGTACATGAGTTGTTTCATAATTAGAACATGTGAGAAGAAAATTATTTTAAAAAAGAAGCATATTATATGGAAGAAAATTATATATGTATATGTCCGTTTGTTTTTTGGACTCTCTGTGTACCAGTAGTCATTGACTTACATATTGACTTGTATATTTATAAATAACCAAAGTTCACAGTTTAAGGTAAAAAGAAGAGAGAAAAAAACTAAATTTAGCCTGGTGGATAGTGGTATGTAAATAAACAGATAATACAATTTTTTTGTATTCCTTTATGCATGTAAATATGCATATAAAAAAAGAAAACTCAGCACAGAAATTATTCAGAACTCTGATGTTATTATGATGTAGTCAAATATACAACTGTAAGGTGATGAGGAAGCCTTTCTGTCTGTCACTGCTCATTTGGAGTCATTCAGGATCTGTCTTTTCTCTTCAAATGCTTCAGGGGGTCTGTAGAGACATGCCCACCCTTGTTGACTCTCATTATAAGGTATAAAATGCATTCTGCATTGATTCTTAAGGGGCGGTCGCACTACACTTTCATTGCATTGACCTCCGTTCATATGCATGCGAATGAGGGAGACATGAATCTGTATTACATGAAGATCAGCCTCAATGTCTTAGCTGAATTAAAGGAATGCCGGTATAGCATGTTTGCGGTAGATTACGACAGCCTGATCTCACGAGAAAACGTAGGTATTTTACGTTTTGTCAGTTAAGTTGCTAATTCGTATGACTGAACTCGATTTTGCTGTTTTAAAAAGGAGGTGTGGCACCAAACCCCACCTCTAAAATCAACCATCATCGAGTGATGAGCAAATCGTACAAAATTGTACGAATAAGATCATTTGAATAAATACGAATTAGCCACTAAATCAAAACGTTACGAATTACCGTGAGATTGCGTTATTTTCATGTTGAATTATGATTTTTATGGACTTTATGTAGATATTTGGGAAGTCTAGTGTGGCCGCAGCTTTAACCCACAACCCAATGCAGGCAAACATCAGCTTTGCTCCACAACATGCGTTTGCTGTGGTTTCATTTTTAAATCTTCAGGAAGGTTCAAACTGGGTTTCTTTTCTATTTTGGTTAAAGTTTTATAGCTGTTTAAATCCTAGCTTTTCACATTGTTTTGGCTTCTCCTGCATGTTGTTTTGTTGATTGCGATTGTCATCTTCAACCACAAGACGAGGTGATAATTGTGTGGTTGAGCTGTAAATTGCAGAGAGCAGCATCTCAGTCTCATACAATATGAGAGTTTATTTGAAAGCACGGGCCATTTACTGTGGTTCACCACAGAACCGCAGTGAATGGAAATTTGAATGGTTTGTTCACAAGCTTGTTTTGTGTTTTAGCACCTGGCCTTAGCGAAAGATTACAACACGGACTCAATGAGACGTTACAGCTGGACGCCAGATACTATGGACAATGTGAACCTGGTCTCCAGTCCTGTCCATTCAGGGTAAGGCCACTTTCGCCATGACTATTCGTATACTACAGAATTAGGGATCTGAACAACCAACAACACTAATTCTGAAAGTATTCTTGATAGGGCTGCACATTATATCGGTTCTTGAGCATCAATATCGCAATGTGCGAATCTGCAATAGCAGGGTCTGAAATGTTTAGTTGTGATTATAATAACCAGGAACGTGATTTGTGGGATCATCGCAAAGTTTAACCCTAATAATAAGAGTGAAAGATTTACACTTAGATGTTTTTAAGAACTGTGATCAAGATATCAAGCGAATTTAAACAAAGAAATTCTAAAGTTCTTGAAAGTAAAGCCGGCAGCTAGCTCTCTGCAACTCTCACATAGTCGCCCACTGAAGCTAAGCAGGGCTGCGCCCGGTCAGTACCTGGATGGGAGACCACATGGGAAAGCTAGGGTGCTGCCGGAAGTGGTGTTACTGAGGTCAGCAGGGGGCGCTCGACCCGTGGACTGTGTGGGTCCTAATGCCCCAGTATAGTGACGGGACTCTATACTGCTCAGTGAGCGCCGTCTTTCGGATGAGATATTAAACCGAGGTCCTGACTCTCTGTGGTCGTTAAAAATCCCAGAATGTCCTTCGAAAAAGAGTAGGGGTTTAACCCCGGCATCCTGGCCAAACCTGCCCACTGGCCTCTGTCCATCATGGCCTCCTAACCCTCCCCATGTCATAATTGGCTTCATCAATCTGTCTCCTCTCCACCAATCAGCTGGTCACTGGTGGTGAATGAGGAGATCCCCCCTATTGTTTGTAAAGCGCTTTGAGTGCCCAGAAAAGTGCTATATAAATGTAAGGAATTATTATTATTATTATTAAAGTTTATAGACTTAACAAAGATTTGTTGTATTTAATTATTTACACAATATAGATAATACAGTGTTTTTTTACATTTGATTCATATTGAATTCACATTCTTAATTGCTGTTAGGCTCCACAGAAAACCATAAAATAGCCATAAAACCATTAAAAAAATTTCTTCTATTATTTTCATCTGTGTTTGAGGCCAGCTAGTAAAGTGCTATGCAGGTAAACCTCACTCCTCTGACCTTAAAAGCTGCTCCTGCGACAGACGCTAGGGGCCATGGTCTTTAGCCTTCTTGTTCGAGCAACCAACTCCCATGCAAAGAATCGCCAGTTGCATTTCCGCTCAGACCGGGTTAGGGGCAGTAGGACCGGTGAGTTTTACATTGGGGCTCTTCCGGGATTGGAGTGAGGTTTAGGGGGGTTATTGTAATGGAGGCCAGCTAGCAAAGTGCTATGTAGGTAAATCCTACTCCTCTGACTTCAAACGGTTCTCTGGCAACAGACGCTAGAGGCCATGGTCTTTAGCCTCCTTGTTTGAGCAGATGACTCCCATGCACAGAATCGCCGGTTCTATCCCAGCTCAGACCGTGTTGGGTGCAGTAGAAATGGTGGGTTATACGTGGGGCCTCGTCCGGGAGGGGAGTGAGGTTTAGGGGGGTGAGTGTAGCAGAGGCCAGCTAGCTAAGTGCTATGCAGGTAAACCTCACCTCTCTAGCAACAGACGCTAGAGACCATGGTCTTTAGCCTTTTTGTTAGAGCAACTGACTCCTATGCAAAGAATTAGCGGTTGGATCCCAGCTCTGACCAGATTGGGTGCAGTAGAAACTGTGGGTTACACATGGGAGCTCGTCCGGGATGGGAGTGAGGTTTAGGGGGTTGAGTGTAACGGGGCCCAGCGAGTGAAGTGCTATGCAGGTAAACCTAACTCCTCTGACCTCAAAAGGTGCTCTAGCAACAGACGCTAGGGTCCATGGTCTTCAATCTCCTTGTTAAAGTAACCGACTTCAATGCAAAGAATCACCGGTCGATCCCACCCAGACCAGATTGGGTTACATTTGTTACCATTGTTTATTATGCTTTTTGCAGATGTATGAATTCTTTTCAAGTACAGTTATTTAAGTCATCTTTTTTTAAATGGTATTCATATCCCAAATGTTTATTGCAGAAAAAAATATATTGCAGTGTCATTTTTTTTCCCAATATCAAGCAGCCCTAATACTTTTTTTAAAAACTGATTCATGTTGTGTAATCAACTGAATCACATGCAAAGTATGCGCATGCTGTTCTGATGAGAACGTTTATTTCATGCACACTGTACTATATGTATGCCCTGTATAAAGTATACTTTGGGTTTAAGAGTTTGAATGAGGTCTCATTTATGAGAATAAAGAAGGATTCCGTCATTTGAATTTTCAATCCATCTACCTGCAATGTATTCATATGTCTGTCAGCTATTTCTCAACTGTCTTTTGTCTGATTATGTCTGTCCGTCTCCCTATCTTACCTTTCTATCATCCATCTGTGTATTCCCAGATACCTTTTTTCTGATATAATAATAGATTTAGTTTGTGTTTTTTTTTTTTTTTTTGGTTTGCCCTATTCCATATTTCCACTTGTTTCTTTGCAGCTTTTCTCGCTCCCCCCTTCAGTACGACAACAGGTGACAGTTCATCATGTGATCACAATTTTTCCTCCCTTGTTTTTGTGTCTTTGCTCTTCTCAGCTCAACTTCTTGGTCTTGGTCTTCAACTTCTACATATACAGCTGAAGTCAGAATTATTAGCCCCTCTGGGATATTAGCACCCCTGTTTCTTTTTCCCCCAATTTCTGTTTAACAGAGAGAAGATTTGTTTCAACACATTTCTAAACATAATAGTTTTAATATCTCAACTCATTTCTAATAACTGATTTATTTTATCTTTGCTATAATGACAGTAAGTAATATTTGACTAGATATTTTTAAAGATACTTCTATATAGTTTAAAGTGACATTTAAAGGCTAAACTCGGTTAATTAGGTTAACTAGGCAGGTTAGGGTAATTAGGCAAGTTAATGTATAACGATGGTTTGTTCTGTTGACTATCAGGAAAAAATATTGCTTAAATGGGCTAATAATATTGACCTTAAAATGTTTTTTAAAATATTAAAAACTGCTTTATTTTAGCCGAAAATAAAACAATTAAGATTTTTTCCAGAAGAAAAAATATTATCAGACATACAATGAAAATTTCCTTGCTCTGTTAAACATAATTTGGGATATAGATATATATATATATATATGGATGTATGTATATGAAAAAGAGAATAAAAATCAAAGGGAGGCTAATAATTCTGACTTCAACTTTATATAAAAAAAAAATTAAGTTTTTGTTCACACTGCGAAAATGTCATTTCTGGATGAAATATGAACAGGACAATACATTGTACAATACATCAGGCCAACGAGCCTCCTTAAATAACTATTAGTGGCCAATACAGTCTAATCATGAGAAGTGCAACCCATGCTGTTACACAGCGGATGCCCTTCCAGCTGCAACCTAGTACTGGGAAAGGCCCATACACACACAATCACTCGCACACACACACACACACACACACACACACACACACACACACACACACACACACACACACACTCTCATACACTATGGCCAATTTAGTTTATTTAATTTACCTATAGCGCATTTCAGTTGGTGGTCCATTCCTCTTTGTCAACCCCTGATAAATAAGAGACTAAGCCGAAGAAAAATGAATGAATTATTTCTGTAGACATAAAGGATGTTAGCAATACATATAACTGAAGGTCGATTGTAATAATGTAAGATTTACATTGTGACACTTTAACAGTTTGATTGAAGTCTAAACTAATTTTAACTGTCTTTATTACCATGTTTAAATATCCAACGTTCTCTACCTCACTAACTTCTCACCAGGTGCATGGAATGATCCTATAGATCACTTCTTCGTGTTTCGGGTTTTCTTTCAGTGTGCTATTATCACAGCATGGGACAACTCAACTTTAAGAGCCTCTCCTTTTTCTCTCTCTAATTAAATTGTTTGCCTCTTGCAGGTTTTTGGTGAGCTTCATGGTGGACGCACGTGGCGGGTCGATGCGAGGAAGTCGCCACAATGGCATGCGGATCATCATCCCGCCTCGCAAATGCACTGCGCCAACACGTATCACATGCCGTCTGGTCAAGAGGCACAAGCTGGCGTCGCTGCCACCCATGGTGGAGGGAGAGGGCCTGGCGAGCAGGCTGGTGGAGGTGGGCCCAGCAGGGGCTCAGTTTCTGGGGTAGGTTTCACCTTCCTGCCCATTACACTCCAGCCTTTTCTTTTCATTCCCATGGAAGCCATCTGTGTTTGGTAGTGTGTGTCGGTGAAGTGTTTCAGCAGTGACATACTAGAGCAGCTTTGCCCATTATTGTTGTCATGCCAATGCCCTGGTACTTGACACTAGGTCAGTGATATACAGTAAAGCACATTGACTTTACTCTTGCCTTTTCTCTGTTTCCTACAACCACATCCTGCAGGTTGTTAAAGTTCCCTAGTAAATATCTTGAGGACTGCTGAAAGAGCTCCACCATTTGAGTAATGATGAGTGTTTCAAAATGACACATGCAGGCTGTTTCAGAACCTAGTGAGCTGCCTATATAGATAGCATTTTATAGCAAGTTATCTAATTCAATACCAGTTCAGTATAATTTCCAGAACTCTGTTTCGTTGTATTTTGAATGTTTTGACAGAGGGAATTTGCACTATTTAAATATCAATTCAAAAATCCAACCATTTTGTGAAATAAAATTTCTAAAATAAAATATGCATAACATTTATGAACAATAACCTTATATGAATATAAATAAATGAGATTTTTTTTCTTTGCAAATGTAAGCACTACACAAAAGATAATAAAAGAAGTTTTGACATTTTGTAAAACAATTTTAAGGTCAGTAATATTGGCCCCATTAACTTAGTTAATTACCCCAACTTTCCTAGTTAACATAATAAAAGCTGAATACTAATATCTTGCCAACTAAGTGGACAAATATTATGTGCCGAACAAATATTATGTTCATTAAGCATCACTTGGGAAATAGCTTTAAAGTAATTATAATTATTATATAATATAATAATTAATGATTAAATATAATAATTCATAGAAAGCATGTATAGAAGCAAATAAAAAAACTAACACAAAATTGACTAGAGCATTAAAAGTTCATTAAAATGTTGTCTTGCTTTAAATCACAGGTGTCAAATCCAGTTTCTGAAGGGCCAGTTTAGTTTCAACCCTAATTAAACACACCTGACTGAACGAATTGAATTGTTTAAAACTTACAAGTAATGCTGCGGTCACACTAGACTTCAAGCATGCGAAATTCTGTCATACAGCGCTGCGAAAAAGGGTGTTATTATACAGAATGATTAAACATTTTAAAAAGCGAGCGATCAGTCCATATTTTAAATTTCTGTAAAGGGAGGTCATGGTTTGATCGTTGTTTGGTCTCACACAATCACGTGATGCGGATTTTGTGGGTCAGGGTTCAGCAAGCTTAAACTTTCGAACGCAGTGAAATGCAAAACTTGTTCTACGAGCTAAACTTACTATCCCTTAACTACAAGCTTGCATTTCCGGATTGTCACATTCCCATACATATAAATGGACGTCTTTGGGAAGAAAAGTGCAGTGTGACCACAGCTTAGGTAGGTTGAAGCTGGGTTAGAAATAAACTGTGCAGAGCTGTGGCTCTCCAGGAACTGGATTTGACACCTGTGCATTAAAAAGGACAGTTCACCTAGAACTGAAAATTCAGTCACTTTTCACTTGTTTCAAACTTTTTTGGAGTTTCTTTCTACTGTTTAAAATTGTTGAAGATACAGTTGAAGTCAGAATTATTAGCCCCCCTTTGATATATTTTTTTTCTTTTTTAAATATTTCACAAATGATGTTTAACAGGGCAACGAAACTTTCACAGTATGTCTGATAATATTTTTTCTTCTGGAGAAAGTCTTATTTGTATTATTTTGGCTAGAATAATTATTAATTATTTATAAAACATTTTAAGGTCAAAATTATTAGCCCCTTTAAGCTATATATATTTTTTGATAGTCTACAGAACAAACCATCATTATAAAATAACTTGCCTAATTACCCTAACCTGCCTAATTAGCCTGATTAACTTAGTTAAGCCTTTAAATGTCACTTTAAGCTGTATAGAAGTGTCTTGAAAAATATCTAGTCAAATGTTATTTACATGGCAAAAAATAAAATAAATCAGTTATTAGAAATGAGTTTTTAAAGCTATTATGTTTAGAAATGTGTTGAAAAAATTTGCTCTTCTTTAAACAGAAGTTATGGTGAAAAAAAATAAACAGGGGTTCTAATAATTCAGGGGGGCTAATAATTCTGACTTCAACTGTATATGCTGAAAACTGGTGACCATTGACATTTATAGTTTTGTTTTTCCTACTGTGGAAGTCAGAGGATTTCTGACATTTTTAAAAAAAAACATCTTTTGTGTTCAAAAGAAGAAAGAAACTCAAACAGGTTTGGAACCATTCGAGGGTGAGTAAATTGTCAGTACATTTTCATTTTTGGGTGAACTATCCCTTTAAGTAGTTATGGGCACATGTTAGCAGAAAGCTAACAGTCTTCTGTGTGCTGTTTGTTTGAGCTGTTGCCAAAGAATATTCCATATAACATTTACACTACCTGACAAAAGTCTTCAATCCCAACGAATAATAACTTGACTTCTAGTTGATCATTTGGAAAAGTGGCAGAAGGTAGATTTTTCCTTTGAATCATCTATTGAACTGAATCCCAATCATCACAAATACTGCAGAAGACCTATTGGAACCCGCATGGACCCAAGATTCTCTTAGAAATCTGTCAAGTTTGGTGAAGCAAAAGTCATGGTTTGGAGTTACATTCAGTATGGGGCGTGCAAGAGATCTGCAGAGTGGACGGCAACATCAACAGCCTGAGGTATCAAGACATTTGTGCTGCCCATTACATTAGAGGGCAAATTCTTCAGTAGGATAGCGCTCTTTCTCATACTCCAGCCCCCACATCAAAGCTCCTGAAAGCAAAGAAGTTCAAAGTGCTGCAGGATTGGCCAGCCCAGTCAGCTATGAACATGATTGAGCATGCCTGGGATAATATGAAGGAAGAGGCGTTGAAGATAAATCCAAAGAATCTTGATGAACTCTGGGGGTCCTGCAAGAAAGCTTTCTACACCATTCCAGATGACTTTATTAATAAGTTGTTTAAGTCATTGCAGAGATGTATGGATGCAGTCCTCCAAGCTCAAGGGAGTCATACATAATATTCATTCCTTTTCCACTGCAGCACGACTTTATATTCTATACTGTACATTATTTCTGTTAAGTGACAAGACTTTTGTCTTAGCAAAGTCAGACCTCACTGTCCTCATTAAATCATTAAAAATCAAGTCATGATCATGTTTTATTTTAATAAAATAAGTGTTATCTAGAGGCCTTTGCCTTTCATAAGCCACCTCTGATACCAAATGATCAATGAGAAGTCAAGTTATTATTTGCTATTACTAAATCTTGGATAGGAGACTTTTGTCAGGTAGTGTAAAGTCAGTTTGGATGTACTGTATAGTAGAACGACATCAAGAAAGCTCAGTAGATTTTGGAATAAGCCGCAGTTCTTGGAAGAGTTTGATCAATAGCTTGCGCTGAAACGCTAGGGCCGGTATCCCATCCTGCAGGAATGACTGAAGTTGTTCCTCCTTTTTTTTTGTTCCTCTAAATGCTGCATGGAAATAATACAGTAAACTCCATCTACCCCGAAACCTCCCGCCTCTTAGCGAGGGCGAGAGCTACGTTAGCCGAATCCTGCAGCTCGGGCCGCGAGGAACGAAATTTTCGGGGTAGGAGTGTGCGCTAAGTGACGTTCAACTACTATTGACACCACGGCTGATGTTTCCTTTGTTTCCTCCTTTACGTTCATCTACACCTTTTCCTTTTAGCTTTCAGTGAATGTACACATCGCTGAAAGTGACTCATACTGGCTGATTATGGGCTGGTTATGCAGTGCTTGGTGAGCATGAGTGTCTGCAGTCATGGCTGCTGCCTTTAGCCTTGTGTTTTTTATGCTGAGAGAGTTTCATTTGACCTTTTAGTTTCTGAGAAGGTATCAGTATGGTTTTTCTTAAGCTTAAGGTCAGTTTGTAGTATATATTCGGATGTTTTGTGTCAAATGTGCCTGGTGGGTCGAGTCTGGGGCCTTCAGGCATGAAATTTCCCATGGTACCTTCTCTGTCTACACATTTAACGTTTTGTTTCATGATTCCATGTTTGTCTGATGTTACTGTTCTCATTCATTGTGTAACATGAGCTATCTCATTTCATAGAGGCAAGTTGCTTTTCAGTTGTATCAGTGATGGATTATGCGTACGTGAAATATTAATTGGTCTTAAACCTAGACATTAATTTATAGAATTAACTCAATAGTGATTTGATTTCATTCTTGAACATCTTTAAAAGGTTTTACAAACAGACTTACCTATAAATGAGAAGTAAAATTGTAGTTTAGTGATGGAGATAACTATATTGATAGCTATAGTGTACAAACATCTACAAAAACAGGCTAAAATGCTCTATTCCTACTAAAAGTGTACTGAAGTTTCGTCCTCGATCACTGTTTATGTTCTTTAAAGCAGCATCGATTCTGATTGGTCAGTGATTTGATCATTTGTCAGCTGGAACACTCCACTTTTGGAAATAGGTTCATTTTTAAAAGATTTAAACAGTTGAGTTTTACAATTTTGAATCTATTCAGTCCATCTCTGGGTCTGGCGGAGCACATTTAGCTTAGCTTAGCTTAGCGTAGCATAGGTCATTGATTGGAAATAACATTACAGGCAATTATACTTTGCATCGATGTTACCTAGTTGGGGACTTTTTCAGGTGCTGCGTAATTTCATGGCAACAAAGCCAGAATCAGAGCATAGTTCTTAGCCACATCAGCCTAGAAAACAGCAACTTTTATTTTTTCCCTTGGGTCTTAGTACACGATATAACCACAGAAGAGTAAAGCTTTAAATAGGAAAATTATCTAAACTCTTTATTGGAATTTCTTTTGAGTGAGATGCTAATGGTCTAATCTGATTCAATGATTTATGCTAAGCTAAGCTAAACTTGCTCCTCTGACAAGTTAAGCTTAATCAATCCAAATATGGTAAAACTGAACTGTTTAATTTTAGGGGACTTGTAAAATCAGCCGATTTCCCAAAAATTGGGGTGTTCCTTTAAATCTTGGAAGAAAAACATGACCATTAACTAAATATTGAACCATTTCAAAGAAGAAAATTAAAAACAATTCAGCTTTAAACCTTAGAACAACCTTAAGGGTAACCTTAAAATGAGAAGGGATTTTTTTCTGAATGGCTAAATAGAGATAAATAGAATTATTTTTACATTTTATACACCATAATGCTTTTGTATTTATAATTAAAAAATGTTAATACATAACATAACATTACATAACTCTCACTCATTTGACCTGAAGTGCATTCATGGGATTCATTCTATCAATAAATGTGTTTCCTGAGTGTTATCAGCAACACATTTACCTAAGTGAGGTAATACAGAAACAACAAAATATTACTAGATGTTACTAGTTGTAATAATAAATCAGCTTTTTTAACTAGTTGTTTTATTAATTCATAGTTTTAGTGGCTATAAATAATGTCGTTTTTAAGCTTTGTCTTGTTTTTTCAAACATGGTTTAAAAATTTCGAACTTGTACTTTTAATATATAGCTCAAAACAACACTTTAACGTACCTTTTTAAAAGCTCTTTTTTGGACACTGATTTAAAATAGGGTTGTGTGCAGTGCATCTTTATTTTGCATTTTACTTGTTGTTTGAAAGATTTAATTTCAAAGCATGAAGTGACGCTTGGTAAAAAATGTTATAGTAACTCCATATGTGTCCCTCTGGGTTCAGAATTGAAACAGGTGGCCCTTACCCAATCCGTATTAATATTTCATGCATTTGCCAAGTGCCCCTCTTTTGCACTAACGTTCCATGAATGTACGTCATCGTCATTTACTAAAGTCATCCGCAGCATTTATATTTCTCTCTCTGTCTCGCATGTATTAGCCTGAGAGGATCCACTGATTAAGGCCTGCACTGTGTTTTCACAGCCCCGTGATTGTGGAGATCCCTCATTTTGGGTCCATGAGAGGGAAAGAGCGAGAACTCATTATGCTCAGGAGCGAAAACGGTGAGACCTGGAAGGAGCATCATTACGACTGCAAAACTGAAGACCTCAATGAGCTACTCAATGGCATGGATGAAGGTATAATGATGATTGCTAAAACTAATGCACTGCTTTTGACCTTGCTAGTCCGCATGATGAGATTCAGAGAAGCCTTTAGTGAGTATTGATTAGTGCTTAACTGTTGGGTGTACATATTGTTGATGACAAAGCAGAATGGAAAATGGCTGATGTAATGCTACAATTTATCAGTAGAGAACTATGACGTCACCTTGTAGGCTAATCGGCTGCTAGCATAAAACTGGTTCCCTCGATAAAATCCCGAAGATTGCGAATAATAAGCTCTGTGCTCAAACACTGTTCATTACACCTACACGTTTTGTCCAGCCGGATAATCCTCACAAGAAGATACAATTTTTAGCACTTTTGGGTCTTAAATGCAAACGCAAGAACTGAAAAGCTAACATTAGGCTATAAACAGACTACAGTGCTTTCGGAGCGCTCACCTGTGACGTCAGCTCCACTCTGCTACAGACATTATATCAAGCTTATTTTTAGAAATAATGTCCATGACAAAGATTTAATCTCTCGGTTTATTATATTGTTATTCACGCTATACATTACAAACAAATCAATACGCAAAAACACAGAGACCTTTGTGCCTTTTGGATCGTGGGAAATACATCTGTTTCGCTTTGCGGTTGTTGTAAAAGTTTTAAAACTGTATGTATAAATGTGCCTAGATAGTGTAATCATAAAACACAATTAAACAAGTGTATCGTTCGCGTGCATACAGCCTGCTTACCTTAACAGACGACAGAAATGAGGCATGAGGAACAAGTCTATTAAATGCCTGCAAGTTCTATCAAAGGTAGAGAACAACATTCAATGTTCTTTTTATGTCACAAAGTACTGCGAAAAAGAGCACATACAGTCACATCTGCTATACATTTTATGGAGGAGTGTAAATATTGCAGTTATGAGAGAGTTAAATGTATTCAGATGAAGAAAAAAATGACAAAAAATCAGTTGATCGCGTTAAAATGACGTTAATATTTTTACACTTATTCACACGTTTGCATCACTGAGAGCAGGAAAGAGGAAAGAGACAGACTGCACTGGTAAGCAGTATCTTCATAATATCGTTTAATTAAAATCCACAAAAATCTCAACAGCTTTTACTAGTGAAGGAATTATCTACACACAATATGAATTCCCAATTAGAAAAATACTACAAGCTAAAAAATACTATTCATGAAAATACTTAAATAGCACAAATCCAAATGCCCAACGCAAGCGAGCTGCGCTCCAGACTAGATCAGCTGGATGACGTTGAATGTCATTTATATATTATGCTGCCTATGGAGAGTGACACATCGCTAAAATCTCAGAAAAAGTTTATTTCTGGGTGAGGTAATCCTTAAGGTAAAAGCTTAGATCATTACAACCCCTTAGCAACACATTTAAAACCAGCACAAGACAACTCCAACTTAAGGAAACATCATAAAATCAAGTTTGTATGTTTTCTCCAAATACTTTCGCAGCCCTTCAAACTCACAAAATACTGGTGTGTCTTACAGAGCTGGACAGCTCAGGTGATTTGGAGAAGAAGCGCATCTGCCGGATCATCACTAAGGACTTCCCACAATACTTTGCGGTTGTATCACGGATCAAACAGGAGAGTAATCAGATGGGTCCTGATGGAGGCGTCCTGTCCAGCATGACAGTACCTATGGTACAGGCCTCGTTTCCTGAGGGTGCTCTCACCAAGAAGATCAGGGTTGGACTGCAGGTAGATTATGGTCTAGGTCAGGGGTGCCCAAACTTTTCCTTATAGAAAGCCAAAAGCCAAAAATCATTGAGAGCCTTGGGTGGAAGTTAATTTACTGAGCTATATTACATTAAAGTTGCCATGGGTAATTTCCTAAATTGTATGGATTATATGAATGAATTTGTTAAATTCTATTTAAACTAATGCAGGATAATGTTTAAAATGATAACGTATTGCAATAAAACATAAACAATACACTAGTCAAGCAGAATCTACCTTTGCCTTGATCTGAAATCTGATTAATTTACACCATTTAATTGTAACATTTACTTCAGTTAGCTTTTAACAATAAAACAAACAAACAAAAGTTTACATCCTATTTGAAATGACAACCTCTAAACCATGCCCATCGTTCTTCTTCTCTTCTCAGATGGGATGACAGGCCAAATCAAAGGTTACTATGGGCCAACTTTGGCCCGCGGGGCCTAGTTTGGGCATCCCTGGTCTAGATATTTCCACTTTTGTATAATTATTCACAATATGCAAATACATTCTCCTATCTCAGCCAAACATAAATATAAAACTACACTGCAAAAAATGCTTTTCTTACTTAGATTTTTTGTCTTGTTTCTAGTACAAATATCTAAAAGTTCCTAAATCAAGAAGAATTTTCTAAACAAGCAAAACATATTGCCTTGTTTTGAGAAATATTATGCCAATATTAAGTCAGTTTTTCCTTAAAACAAGCAAAATAATCTGCCAATGGGGTAAGCAAAATAATCTTACGTCAAAAGAAAA